AACATGCAGACATCGTTCTTCGAGTCGTAAATCGCCTGAATAGCTATTTCGGCTGTAGCTTTGACACGAGCATAATCTGCGAGATTTTTCTGCTCGACCTTGCGAATTATCGCGAGCTGCTCTTTTTTCACCGGGCCGAACATGTTAGGTCTGGCTTTGCAGAACCGCGAATCCGATCGATGAGGTCCCCCTCAGTTTTGACACCGTGTGGGGGCTTTACACTCCGCTTCCAAGTGCATTTATGATCCGCAGTTCCAGCAAGCCGGAGCGCGGGAGCAACCGCGTGAAGCATGTTAGCCAAGACATTGTTTGCACTGAACTGTGTTTCTACGAGGTTGGAAGAGCTTTGCAGCTCCGGAGTCATCGAAGAGGCGGAATCCAGGTCGGAGCGTGAATTCGCTAGGGAATAGCGCTTGCTAGTTCTGGTATGGCGCTCCAGGTTTGCAGGTCCCATGAGAACGAAGAAGAAAAGGAACTGACTTGGTCACTCGCGTGACTTCGTCGGCGAACATCTTTTCCGTAATGAAAACGGAACCTGTGAGTGTGTTAATTCTCACTGGGACGGTGACAATTTGTAGGGCAACTAGGTTTGACACTGGTTCTAGATTTATTCCTGATTCTCTCCGTTCTACGGAGGAATCAAGGAGCTCTTTCCGAGCGAGTTCATCCTTTACTGTGAATGCAAAGCCTAGTTTTACCCGCTGAACCAACATAATATTGTTGGATATGTTACCGAGCACCTCTGAAACAGCTGATCTTACGCCAGCTGGTGACAGGAGTCGGTGGAGGTGGTCGTGGGCGAGGCGTAGAAACAGTCGTGTGTCGGCCTCTATCCTCCTATTGGCTCCCTCTGCTTTTGGAGCGGGCGAGGCTCCCTTTGTTGTTAATGAGCCAGTGCTGTGGCCAAGGCCTGCTTGGGCTACTTTCGCCCAAGTTGCCTTTTGGGCCGGAGCCAAGGTTGTCGAAGGGTTCGGTACCATTATTTCTTGAACCCTCGGCAGAGGAGGGTTGCCAGGGCGCACAGGAAGAGCTGGTGGAGTGCTCCCTGGGCCTGATTTTACGAACTGGCCGATGGCCGCTCGAAGGTAGACTTTGATACTGTATACAAACTCTTTTTCTTCGCCAATCGAGAGAGGCGAAAGTGCTGCTTCAACACTGCTTGTTGCAGTGGAACATATTGCTAGACGGGCCTTGATTTGCGTCGTGGGACGCCTTTCGACCTCCATCACTAATTGCAGCTCCGGAGGAAATTCCAATGCTAATATCGAAGCTATGCCTTTGAAAGCTGGCACAGCAAATTTTCTTGAAGTCGTTTCTGCTTGTTCTTTCGTCTTCTCTCAAACGAATTCCTTTCCTTTCCTGGAGCTGCTTGCCTCTGGGGCAAGCTCGATGGGAATGTGGGCCTCGAGACCACTCTTTACTGACCCGACGGGCTCAGAATCAGTCATTTCTTTGTCGAGAAGGTTTGGAGACTCCCCTTCGATGAAGGCCTCTCTCGCAAACATACTTAATATTTTTTGCGCGAGGCCGGGTGTTTTTACGGGAGCCCTTGGATTGACTCTCGCGTTGTCCAACATTGCGTTGTGGGGCTTTTTTCGAACAGGTAGCATGATGAAAATGCCAGCGACTTGATCATAATTTATTGATAGAATGCGACGAGCGCGAGAAGGGAGTGTTGTAATATGCGATAACTTGGTAGTCGGGGTTAGGGCATTGCGTAAGGCCTTAGGCCACAGGACGGTGTCACTAGTGTAATGGTTAATCGAGCGTGTATATATTCTCTTAGGTGCACCCACAATTAAATGACATAGGGCTACTCTTTTACTTTCTGCTCATACCCTTACAGCATCGTATCATACAAGTATATTCACTGTCACCCACGTCAATCACATCATCGATTCCTCATCACTCCGCAGTATAGCTTCTGCATCGCTCATAACCACAACAGGGAGAGAGGGAAAAGGGGAAAATTCGGAAATTCGAATTCCAAAAAAATCGTGCGTGTGTGTTTATTGTACTACTCGAATCTTAGACTATCTAGCACATTGGGCTCCTCTCTGACCCAGGCCGCTCTTTGTACATTGCCCCTTGCCTCTCATGTTCCTTGAAAGATCGTTGATATTTGCCCTTGATGAATAGCCATTAAGCTCAGTATTTACCCGTGGAATTCGGCCACCTTTTCCAGGGAACCTCCTACCAAAAAAAGATAGAAGTAGTAGCAATGAAAACTGCGTGCCCGGGGAAAAGTCTCAAAATACCTGCTGCCCCAGCCAGGCGGGGCCTAGACACCAGGACCACATGAGGTACGCATATTCATCTACATCTCCCCTCTCTACAACAGTCGAGGCCGACTCGATCCAATCCACCATCAACGTATCGGGTGCTAGGTAGGCTCCGAAAACTCATCGGATGGCTTTTCCTCCATGATCAAGAGTTGGTGATTAGTAGGGCTTCGACCCTACCATCTGATCTGATCTTGGTTGGTGTAATAATAGAGGTGAATGGGGGTTGTGCTTAGGGATGAAGACGACACAGACTGCGAAAGCGATTGGGAATCCTCGTCGAAGTGAGGACTTTGATATTTTTATTATGACCGGGTACTACCCCAGCACACATAAATCATGGAGGGACTATCCTGATCACCTGTCAGAGGTGTCCCCTACGAACCTCCGGCTCTCACTGTAGAGTTTGCAGAGCCGAGATTGAGTAACAAAGTCATCCTGTCGTATCTCATAATCTATAGATGGTATTAAATGAAAAAATAATTAAGAAGGAAAAAGAACAGGATTAGGGGAGGGATTGGTCACACCAATTCATGATACCGTTCCAACTAAACTTATCGTTGTGCCCTTTCAAAGTAATACGTGGCACGCACCCAGCTGCTGAGTGTATGGACCCCTTCCGCTGAAGCAAGAGCCCAGGATTCATTGGGAGTGGAATTCTGCGCCATGTGAAGCTGAACCTGATACTGCCCTATCTAGCAGTTGAAAAAGTGGTTAGGGGACTTCTCTTCTCCGTATGAGCAGGCTTGAAAGAGAGCCTTTCTACTGCGGATGAAATCCATATACTTCTGGGAAGGTCATGTGGCTTACCTAGCTTAGATTACATGAATAGGTGGAATGCTACCTATAGACACTATGTAGGACATACTACTTATGAACAATTTTATTAAGGGAATAATGACTTCTCAGTTATTGAGGTTGTTGAGCGCATTCGTTGAAGTAACTATCGAAGTAAAACTCGGGACAGAATTTGAAATCACATGTATATCAACAGCGTGACCTTCTTGATAGCCCTAATTATTCTAACTCTTAACATATTTATCTTTTACATCCTAATTATTCTAAGTTTTTAAATTTTTTACATTTGTTGTCTTGCCACATAAGGATATGCAGGTCCCTTCTGCCTATAGACCAAGGATACCTATGCCAGTAGTATATCCCCTCCTATGCCTCCTATACAGCTCCCTTCAAACAGTACCGCCCCTCACAAGTCCTCATTCGATCATACACTCATAGTAGCCCTTAGCCCTTCATTATCTCCGATCTCCAGCCACCCAAATTATGGTCATTTGTGGGTGTAAAACAGCCGGAAAATTTACAAAAAGCCAAACATCCTAATCCAGTTCTACTTAAATGAATAGTATATTTACCAAATATATTTAACCAGGGGGTGCTTTGTAAATACAAAATAAATTATAAAAACAAACAAGTTTTCAGAATGATCCATCTAGCTGGGGTTATTTGGAGTTGATGGGTGTTGCATCGAATTGGCTAGTTCTCTTGGTTTGTGGAGTTTAATGTACGGATAACGCTTTATCCGAATGTATGTTAGCAATTCCACAGAATCAAAGCAAGAGAACATGAATAACCATGAATGCGCATTTCTTCTAAACAATAGTTAGAAATACTTATACGAATACTCTCATTACTTTAAGTGAACTAATAAGCTTTTAGTGTATGAGCTTTGTCAAACCAACACAAGTAAAAAGATGTCTTTTGCCCTGATAGAACTGTGCACATTTACTCATTCACTACTTACTGTATTACATGCCACCTTGCTAGAAATAATAACTCCACAAAAATACTCATTACATTTAACGTGAGACGTACACAGTGACCCATAATATCTATAGATGAAATTTCGAGACATTGATGAGAAGGACGGAAAGAAAGACAGGGATTGATGCACCAAATGGACCAGATAGCATCCGTATTAGATAAAAGAGCCCAATTGAATGAAGAATTAGCCTCTTGAGGTTAAAATTTATGTGTCGGCATGAGGTCGAAACTATCCGTTTTCATGACATAGGTGCGATATCAGAAAATAAAAAAATATTCAAGTCGAGGCAGATTGACGTAGGGACTCGTCTTTGTCTAGTATTCCGGCTAGCAACACCAGCCATGTTCAGACCATCATATGTTCATCTTCGCCTCCCTCTAATGCAGAAGCTCGGTTCTGCGAGATTTAGATAGTCTAACAAACAGTATCCCATATCTTGTGATAATTTTATGTATAATTTTATATAATCGATTAATCTTTAAATATTTCTAAATTTGATTACTTCGTGCATGGATTTGGGCCTAACTTTAGACCTCACATCCAGATATTTTACAGTAATGTAAGCAAGAATAGCTAAAAATTAGTATGAGCTCTAGCCAGAAGAAATTTCTGCAAAGCTTATTCGCTAGAGAGCCGTAATCTTAATAGTTGGAAGGCTTAGTTCTTTCAAAAATATTTCTGGCGCTTTTTGTTGTAGTCAATCTTATGAAATTGCACTGCACGCTTATAATCGTGGTAGCATGCTTATCGAAACTCAAAGATGAAATATATAAATCTCGATTATTCCCTAAATGTAGCAATTCTCCAATCCTTGCAAGTATATGAGAAATTGATTTCGCCGATCTGTTGCCTGGGACATTCAAGTGAGTTGGTACAAACGGCTCTCAAGTTGATAGTACAAAAATAGTATCACTTTATAAGCCCTAATCTTAGAAAAATTACTTTGCTATAATCGCAGCGATCCATCGATCTTGCTCTGACCTAGATTTTTGTCAGTTCAATACGAAAACTTGATCTAGTTAGATGAGAATTCTTACTTGTCTATTTTTAGTAACTGTCCTAAGACTGTTTTTACTAAGCTCTCTTGTACCTTACGATCTCTTTGCTCCAAAAATTGAAGTATAATGGTCTTTAGATAAACAAAATCCAGGATTGCATCGTTTTTAGTCGCTCCGTAGGTTCTAATATCAGTGCTATCCCTCCTATTCTCATCAAATTTTGCTAATTTTGATTGAAGTGTTTGGTTTTCTTTTTTTGCCTTTTCAAAACGTTGATTTGCATCATCTAAAAGCTTTGTCGTCTCTTGCCTTTGTTTTTCTGCTTCTCGTACGGCCTTCTCACTTCTATTTAGAGCATCTTGCAGTTGGTTCAACGCTATCCTGATGCCCTCAGCTTCTTTTTTAGAGCTTTGAGAAATATGTTCCAACTCTTCGTATTTATGTTTCCAGGTATTTTCAGCGTTCTCTAGCCGTTCTTTTTCAGAAGTAATACTTTTCAAATCTCGGTCTAAATCTCTATGACGTACTTTGAGCTCTTCAATCTCCCTAGCCCTTCGACGTCCAATATTCGATGATTCATCTTCAAGTTGGTCACGCTCCTTTATTGCTATCTCCATTTTTTCCTGCATCTCCCTGACTCTAGCATCTGCACGTTCATCGACATCAGCCAAGAGACGGCGCATTGTCTCACCCTCTCTAGTTCGTTCAGAAAGTAGACGATGGGCTTCGGCCAGCTCTTCTGAAAGTGATTCTGACTGAGTCTGAGCCTCCCTGAGTTGCATAGCCATCTCACTAGCTTGTCCTTTCATACTTTCTACCGAGCTCAGAGCATTACTGAGCAGTGAGCTTTGAATTTCAGCTTCCTCCCGGAATTTTTTCGATTCTAAACTTAGTTTCATTACCTGCTCTTCCAAATCTTTGACCTGAGATTGCAGACTAATAGTTTCCTCGCAAGATTTAACAAGTTCTGAGGAAGACTTCTCCAGGGCAGCAGAAATTTTTATCTTCTCTGCTTCCGATTTTCGCATATCGCGCTGGGCAACGCGCTGATGATCCTCGGCACGAAGGCGAGCGGCATTTTCTTGACCAATTTTCTCGTTAAGGGTCCGTATTTCGGATTGAAAATCATTTACCTGTTTCTTAAAAGAAGTTACTTCGGACTTCAAGTCCTTCTCACGAATTTGAAGTCGTCTAAGGTCTAGGTTTGAAGTAACTAATTCTTCTTTAGCACTCTTTAAACCCATGTTGTCGGTCCGAAGCTTTGCCATCTCTTGTTGAACTTTTTGGTGGGTCTCTCGGAGGTCAGTAAGGTCTTTGTACCTTGATGCTGCCAGCTGCTGAGTTACAATAAGATCTGTTTGTAAAGTGGCTGATTTGATCTTTATGTCTTCGTATTCTTGAGACAATTTCTTAATGTTATTACTCGTAGTTTTAGAGTTTTCGGATTCAATTTTGCTCAGGTTCAAATCTTTTTCTAGGGAGGAGACCTCTTCTTGAAGCTTTTTCTTTTCTTCATTTAATAACTTAATATTTTCTTTAGCCATAACGTGCTCTTGTCCGATGCTAAGAAGACTCTCCTGCGTATTTTCGAGTTCTTCCCTAAGGTCTTCCTCATTTTTACGCTTAGACTGAAGCTGAGTGATCAACAAGTCTCGGTCTTGGAGTTCAGACTGAAGTTTAATTAAATCATTTTCTATGTTGCCTGTATTAGGAGTGTTAGGGACAGATTCTGAGCGGTAATCGGTTTCTGACAATGTAGGAGGCAAATTAGACAACTTTTTCTTCTTTTTATTTCTCTTCTTACTTGTCTTCGAAGGACCGGCCACGGAAGGAACTTCAATATTGAGGTTTGAATCGGCTGTGACCTCTTTTTCGCTATTTTTGGGCTGCAGTAGGCTAGAATTCTGTTGAAGTTTCGTCGATAAAGCTTCTATTTTGGCTTTATATTCTTCTTCCAATTGCTCGAATTTTTTCTTTTGATTAATCAACTCTTCAGAGCTTGATGTAGGACTACTGCTAGTATTCGGAATTGATATGAGAGCCTTACTTGAGGTCTCTTCCTGCTTTGCGAGATCGGCTTGAAAATTGAATAGCCTTTCTTCTGCGTCTTTCTTTTGAGATTCTAAACTAAAAATTTGGTCACTAAATCTACTTTCCGTAGTCTCAATTTTATTCTTCAATACTTGAATCTCAATTGCCTGCGCGTCTATCTTGTCTTTGGTGAATTGATCGTTCAAAATAGGTTCCTCATCCACATTTGATTCCTGAATCTTATTATTGGAGCTTGAAGCCAGGTTTTGGTTTGAATCTTGGGCTGTTGGGAGATACTTCTCTAATTCCTCAACTCTAGACTTCAGTATTTTGACTTCAGCTGACTTCTCCTCTAGCTTTTTCTGCAAGTTATCGCCGTTGGTGAGAATGAGTTCACAGCTACTCTGCTCCTTATCAAACTTGACCTGACCACTCGGGGAAAACACAGTTAAGTCGGTTGAAACAGCAGAACTAACGGATTCGACTAAATTTACAACATCTATTCGGGGGATTTCGTTCGTTTCAGCTTCCTCCTGATCGCAGTTCTGATTTTCTGCCACTAATTCTTTTTTGGATGTGGAGACTTCATGTTCTAGTGTGGCAACTTTGTTTTTAAATTCATCTCGATCAGTGGTTACTCTCTTCAATTCTTCCATTAATATTTCCCCTTTTAAGTTGAGCTGATTGAGATACTCTCCCAGAGCATCTGGGTCAGATATGGTAGATAAAGGAGTGTTTTCCCTGAGCTGCTTTTCGAAGGATTCTATTGATATGGCTCGCGCGTGTGCAACACGATAGGAACGTAAAAGTTCTGGGCATTATCAACATATGATACGTGGCTAGGATTACTTTGTGCTACCTTGATATCTCGTTTCAAGCCTTTCAAGCTTCCGCAACTTCATTCGGACTGTTGGTGTAATTTCTGGATTAGGTGATGCTACTAATTTTGAACTCTCTTTATCGGTAATTTCTGTCTCGGGAGCTTTGAATTCGCTGGAGTTGTTTCTGTGATGTGGTGTATCTCCTGGAACAGTCTCTTTGTTTGCCTCATCATCTTCGTCTTCGATAATGAAGGCATGATCAAATTCTGAAGGATCAGGTCCTCGGGAGTTGACACTATCTTCATGCCGCCTATCACGTTTTGATTTCGATGCAATTTCCTTCTTTATAGAGCCTGACTTACTCGAAGACGACGCAGAGCGAGATATAGGGCTTCCAGCTAGAGCTTTTTGACGAGCCTGTTCTTCTGCGATTCGAGAATCTATAGCGCCTTTGAGTCGCTGGGAAATATTCAGTGTTCTTTAATTTACCTTTTTAGAAATATGCAGAATAAGTTACCTGAAACATTTTTCTCTTATTAACCAATTGAGAAGGAATTTATTAATTGGAGAATTGCTAAGATCATCGGTAGAGCTTGCAGGTTATCACAAAGTTGAATAGCATTTCTAGAACACTTCATGTATAAGTCTGTCATAAGAGCATGATACGTAGCTGGATGATTATCGTCTGTGCACAGTAAGTATCAGCCTCGTGCGGGTCTACATCCTTGTCATGCCTACTTGTTTTTTGACAACAATGCCACTACACCGGTACACTCCCGTAGTGACCGCAATACATACATAATGGTCTCACTATGGCCTTGGAAAGTGAGTGATACGTTGCAAATAATTTCTTCGTCGCTGAATAATAAGCTGTAGTCAGAAGAGAAAACCTCAGCTTCCTTCGAGAGGATACTATCTGCTCTAGCCACGAAAATATCTGCATACCAGTCGCAGTTAGACTCTTTGCGATCGAGTAAAAGAAGATACAAAGCACTATGGACCCTCTATACAAGTCTGCTTTATTTAATTGCTCTAGCTATTCTGATCTTAATCGTAGGCTCAAAAAATTGGACTGTGTGGGAAGGCTCGGCCCTAGCTGGATTTCCTGTCGTGTAGGAGCTTAATATATCTTTAAAATGGATAAGTTTTAACATAATGATAGTATATACCTAGGCCGCCGAGCTCTTACCATATACTATAGCTATCGAATAAATACTTTCACCTACCGTCTCGAAGAGAAACAAGCAGAGCAATCAAGAGTGATTGAGAAACTGAAAGATACAACTAAGTACGACTCCACACAAAAAATTTTGGAAAAATACGGGTCAGTAACAGATAAATCTAAGAGCCTATCCCCACGAAAGAACACCAGATCTAGAAGCAAACAACCACAAAATACTGCGTCGAAGATTCCACCAACAGCAAACATTCCGAGATCTATTTGGAGTTCAAATCAGTTTATTGCACCCAAACTAGCTGTAGAAAAAACAATAAAAAGTAAAACAGCACATAACGAGCCACCTCCACTTGAAAATAAATGGAGTCCAAATCTGGCTGTTCCTGGACCACCGGAATTCGCCCCTAACGCATTCAACACTCCCTTGGAATATCCTCATGAGAGCGAAAAATCTATGCAAGGTCATTGGTATGATCGGATTCTTGACTTACTCCTTGGTGAAGATGAAATGCTACCCAAGAATAGAGTAGCGCTAATTTGTCACTCATGTCGGCTAGTGAATGGACAAGCACCTCCTGGGACAAAAGAAATATCAGACCTAGGAAAGTGGGTATGTCATGGTTGTGGGGCAGTAAATGGAGATGAGAAAGTTAAAAACGCTGGCAAAGATTTAGAAGGCAGTAATTTAGTCAACGATGCCGCTGAAGAGGGGGAAAGCTCAGAGGAGTCGTCCATCAGCTGTCACCAAAACTCGATTTCCGATGACGAACAGTATGGTTCGGAAAACAACAAGGGTAGTGGAACTTACAATCAAGAAAAAAAAAGACGGCCTAAACTCGAAAATCCTGAGCTGTAGCATAATTAATTCACTAATAGAATAACAATGACTTCAAAATCTTTCACACACAGACTCTATGATATTTCGAGGATACGCTCCCTTCGCAGCCCCTAATTTATTCGCCATCAACTGTCAATGCTAATGATTATTTAGTGATTAAGGCCGTAAGACGGGTTTCCTTAGTTGTTTGGAGGTATGACTGCATTAGCATAGTACCCTTACCCACTAAAGCCTAATCAAGTACAACCTAAACAAACGGGATTTAGAACCCGGTTAGACGCTACTCGATGGTTTGTGAGCCCAGGCCATCATTATGGTGTGTCAAGGAACTTGTCAGGGGCTAGCTTAGTAAATTAGCCGAACCATGTACATAAAGAGTTTGGAGTCCGCACACCCAATTGGATAAAAACCAAGAATGCACATATTAATTCATTGCTCCTAGCTCACACGATTGTTCTCCTCGCACATCGCTAGGCATCCATATTTTTCCATAAGATATCCTCCGCACGCTCAAAATCACAACAACCACGGAAGTCTGCAATGAGAAGATTATTGATAATTATATTTCACAATCGTGTATTAGCCTGCTTGTAATAGTAGAAGTCCTCAGTCAGGATTAGATAGATCAACAAACAACATACACTAGACCTACGTTTTCGGTGGGCATTTTGTTGCTAAAGATTACAAGTGTACTTCGAGTCTATAGTCTACCGTACGCAACGCGTACGCACATGTCCTTGTCGGAGATGACTAACATCCAAATAAATTACATATTAAGATTATAATGACCCCTCAGTCATTGAGGTTGTATAGCGCATTGATTCAAGTAATTACTGAAGTGAAACTAAGTACAGAATTTGCAGTCACGTGCAGATCAACAACGTGGCCCACTTAATAGCCCCAATTATTCTAAATGCTAACATTACAAGAATTTATGCATCGGGATGCACTATGCCGATCTTACTGATCCCGATTATGAGTATTTGCGACACACTGATGTGAAGAGAACTGACACTGAATAATGGGTAAGTATGTTTATTGTCCTAAGGAGTCTATGATTATGTAAGGACATGTAGGTTTGTTCTGCCTACAGACCGGGAGTATCTGTACCTAATTCACGACATCCTTCCATCAGTAATACCCCCATAGGTCTTCATTCAAGCGCATACTTAGGGGAGCCTTTATCCCGTCATTATCTCCCCTCTCCAGCCAACTAAACGACGGCCATTTGCGGACTTGTTTGTTTCCCATCTATTTTACGTGTAACTAATGACTACACACACTAGACCCTCATGAGTGAATTGACGCCAAAACTTACTGCTCTGGGAGCTTGAGACACCCAGCTTCCCTAAACTCAAGAAAGAGCCCGAGATGAAATGCTGTATCAGGTGGCTTAAACAGGCATCTTGTCTACGAGAATTTAGGCCCCTAAAGTAGATAGGCAGCAATGAAAGAGGGAAGAAAAACCTTTCGTCATGCTGAAATGAAAATAGAAAATAGAAAATATATTAAGGAAATAATGACCCCTCAGTCATTGAGGTTGTAGAGCGCATTGATTCAAGTAACTACCGAAGTGAAACTAAGTACAGAATTTGTAGTCACGTGTGTACCAACAACGTGGCCTACTTTATAGCCCCAATTATTCTAAATTCTAACACTCCCCCATAGACTAATTGGGCGTATTCTTTGTCTTCCTGTATCTTTGCTTCATTAGACGTTTGCTTGAATGATTAGTTGTCTGCTCCCAAACTGGTCTTTAAATTTTCGATGAATCAATCCAAGCAATGTTTCCTTTGGAACTGATTCATCTCCTCTCATTTTCCCCCACGAACACCATAGAGTCCTAAGCATTTCCAGAGTAACCTTTCAATTTGATGTTGTTAACTTCCAAGGCTCCCCCAGTATTTGGCGTCTTAGTGTCAGCCTTTCTCAGCTCTCAAATACACTCCCCCAGTTTCCGTGCTGCGGTTGTTCCGGTGTTTATTCCATCCAATTCACTAGTGTTCCATTGTCTCGTTTCCCTCTACAAGCAACATGCCCCACAGATGTATCCCTTCCAAAGACTTTTATCCAAGAGCGTACCATGTAACAGCTCTCTCATACCATCACCAAGCTCCACTTGGTTTTCTTTCTACCTTGCTTCGGTATTTTTGTCACCCGTTATTCTTCTACTTTTTGACTTAATCTCCCCCACGACAATATAAACTTAAACGAAGATAGCCGTTGAGAGGGTGTTAATGTTGAAGCCTTAGGCTATTGTAGAGACTTTTGTTGTCGAATAACTTGGCTAGAATCCCTCTGCTTAGATAAATGCGAAGACTATAAGAAGGGAAGTCTTGAGAGTATAAATAGCAGCTTTCGAAGAGGAGCTACTGAGTTGAGGTTCGAACTGCTTTCGGAAATCAGCAGTGAAAATTTTGCGACAGCTTCCGGATAGGAACTGTCGGGTTGAGGATTCGACAAACTTCGGAAGAGAGTCGAGGAATTTAAATTAACAGCTATCGTAAAGTAGCTGTCAGACTGTGATGTTGGGAGCAGCTTTCGTACTGCAGCTGCCAGGTTTATGTTCTTTCTTTTTTGGTTCCTTTCGGGTCGACTCATTTGACCCATGGGCTCTCTCTCTTTGAGTCCATCAACGGGCTGGCTACCGGTGCGTTTTGGAACCATCAATCCTCACGAGGTTTTCGCAGCGACCCCTTATCCTCAGTACTCGACCTGTGCTTTCCCTAACGAAGGCGATAACCTCCTGTCTTCTCAGGCGACGGCCATTCACCTTTCTTTAGAGATTGCAACTCAAAGGCGATGGCCTTGTCTTGGGTTCAAGAAGGTGACGGCCTCCTAGTTGGATTAATTTGGCGCAAGTAGAGCATATGCCCTTCTACTTGCCCATAACGAAGATAGTATCAAACTCCGGGCGATACAACGTGATTGCGCGAGCGACAATCCGGGCTCATAACCAATTAAATTAGGAGGCTTTCTATAGCTGTATAGCTGTAGAGAAGACAATAGAATTATCACAGTGGAAGGAGGTGAGATAGAATGAGAAGCGAAAGTGTGCTATTTACAAAATAGTGACGGACAATAACTACTAAGTACAAATTTCCTCCACGCGACTGATCTGCATGAGTAGCGTTATTGACGCGACTCCTAAGCTTGACCTTGACTGGCTCGGCAAGTTCCTACACCAACCAGACACACCTTGTCATTTAACAAAATAGAAAATAGAAAATAAAGGATAGAAAAGAAAGTTGACAACACATGTGTTTTTTCTCCTTCCTAGAGGTGAGAGGAGGTAGAATTAGATTACGATTTCTTATGGGCATTGAATTGCAGATAAGCATCGTTTTTTGACAGTGCGGGAGGAATCCTTAGTCAGATTGCAGTGAAGAACTTTGTTCTATCCAACTATTGTACAAGTCATGATCCTCCAGTAGGGGTCCCAAGAAAGAACTTAATTTTATCTAAGCAGCCTCCAGGTGCTTTGTATAGTCTGAATATAATCAGATTATAGTGCAGGAAGTGTGTTGGAGAATTGAGTTTTCCGCAGCTGCAGGTTGTATGGGCGGAGTCGTGATTGAAGCAGGTATGGCAAGCAGCGAAATCTCTGTGTCTAGAGCGGGCGGCGCATGTATGAGCAGCATAGTATCGAGGTAGTGGCAGCTCTACGGGGCAGCACACAAGATACTCGATTTCCAGGTCTTGGTATTATGGGGGCGTGCTTTGCCCAATACTTTTTGTAAGCTGTCATTCTCACCTTCTTGACCCAAGCTTTTGTCGAGGCAAATTTGAGCGGAGATGAAAGCGGGGGCGGCATCGCCAGAGCGTCTTTCGCGGATTTATCCGCCAGGACGTTGTCAATGAGTCCAGAGTGACCTGGGATTCAATGAACCCGAACTTCACCTGGAAGAGTGTGGAGGAGGCGCGTGCGGCACGACCACTCTCGAGCTTTGGACGCAAATTTATTGAATACGTCTTGGAAAGAGCAGGTAGGGTTTGACGATAGCTTTCGAGCGACATCTAGGTTATCTAGTAGGACCCATAAGTCGTTGGCAAAGCGTTTGGAAGGGAAATCCATAGCTGTTTCTACAGCGCTTAAAGCAGCTAGAGCTTCAGATTCAGCATCGAATATCTCGAGTGATGGGCTGAGAGCTATCCTTTTCTGATGGATCATAAGGTCTGCTGGGAAGATTACAAATCCACATTCAACACGAGGTCCAGAGGCTGATTCTAGACGGCTACCATTTAAATGTACAACAAGGTCTTCTGAGGGGATATCTTCAGGAAGACGAAATGGGGCTCTGGTGACTCGTCTGGTCTTGATGCACCAGGTTTCCATCTCTAGCCAAGGGAGGTTGACCAGAAGTTCTAAGAACTCTGTAGATGGGAGGCTCAGGACCCGTCTAGAGAGACGAGAGACATGTTTCTGATGGTTTGGTATCCAATTGGTCAGGCGGCGGAGACGATGCCGTGGATCAAGGTGATGTATGCGAAGTGATGTTCGGCGAAGTTTTAAATCTAGAGCGATTCCTGGTGGAGGGAGACCCGCGTCTCTGTACAGCGCGCCAACTGTAGTTGTTCTGTAAATAGAAAGGATAGCTCTGGCACTGGTATGAACAACTTTTTGAAGGAGAGAGATATTACCCTTAACTAGATTTAAGATAGTTCGGGTCGGAGAGATAGAGCGTGTTTGATCTGGCCACCAGGTCTCAGCCCCGTAGTAGGCGATGGGTAGTAAGCAAGCTATGGCAGCCTGACGTAAATTTTTGAGGAGGCGCCTCCCGTTGTGTTGCCAAGACCACGAAGTGCGTTCGCTACTGCTAGCGCTTTCTTTGTAATGATACAGACGTGCTATTTGAAAGAGTGTCCTATCGAAGTAAACTCCGAGCCATCTAGTGTATGGGAGATCTTTCTTTTTTGCTACAGAGAAGTCGCTATGCATGATTGCTGGCGTCTTTCCTCGCTCTTTAACTGCCCGTTTTTGAGAGAAATACTGAAGCTGACTTTCCCGGGTCGAAGAT